ACTACTACTACTACTACTACTTCTACTACTACTACTACTACTACTACTACTACTACTACTACTACTACGACTACTACTACTACTACTACTACTACTACTACTACTACTACTACTACGACACTACTACTACTACTACTACTACTACTACTACTACTACTACTACTACTACTACTACTACTACTACTACTACTACTACTACTACTACTACTACTACTACTACTACTACTACTACTACTACTACTACTACTACTAAAACCACTACTGCTAGTACTAGTTCGGGTCGTGCGGGAGAGCCGCCGCTGTCTCGGCCGGCCATCCTCCGCGCATCCACCTGTGTCATCTCGAAGAAGCAAACACGCCATGAGCATGAACTTTCGGCGCTCCGCACGGATTTCTTCTTGGATCGGCGCCCGGGCCCCCTTCGGCGGCGCCTCCGGCGCCGCCCCCCTGTCGCGCGCAGACCCAAGACATCCGCGCGGAGCGCCAAAAGTTTGTGTTCAGGGCGTTCTTTCTTCTTCTGTCATCGCCGCGGGCATCCACAACCGCCTGATCCACTTCCCCGTCCGGCAGGGCAGCAGCGTGTTCGCACTGGGCTGCACCCTCCAGACCCTGGGCCACCTCTCGAACATCGTGGGCCTGCGAGGGAGGGTCATCTCGGGGGGGCGAAAGAGCGTCAGTGTCACGGCGCCATCGGCGTGTTGCTGTCGATGTGCGCTGTCTTTTGGCGTGTTGCTGTCGATGTGCGCTGTCTTTTTCGGACGAAGAACGAGGGAGTAACACGCCGATGGGGCCCTGGTGGCCCCCGCGGCGGCGTGACGTTGATATTCTTTCTCCCCCCCGATCATCGGCGTCATCGGCGAGAGCCATCCGAAGAGGCCCAGCGCCTCCGAGCTGGCGAGATTCCTCAGGAGACACCCGAACGCCTCAGTGATCACGGAGGACATGCAGAATGCGACCTTGGAGGGCTACGAGCGGCAACTCAGCTTGCCCCAGGAGTTCTGAGAGCAAGAAACGGCACAGGGCAAGTTTTCGGAGGTCCGTGCAGATCTCTTGGGTCGGCGCTAGGCCCCCTTGGCGGCGCCTCTGTGGCCGCCTTTGGCGCGCTCCGCGCGCCAGAGAGGGAGGTCCAGCGCCGATGCGATAAATCCGTGCGGACCTCCGAGAGTCTGTGTTTATGTTTTTGTTGTTAACACTCTGGCCGCAGCGGCCCGTCTTCTGGCTCGCTTGGGTCGTCTTCGGTGTCCTCGGTGCCGTGCCAGGCAGCCCAGACCACGGAGACATAGAATCGTTGTCTGATTGGCTTGCTGTCCGAGTTTGTCATCCGGTCTGTTGTGCCGTCGCCAGCTCCTGCCAGGATAGTATTAAGTCGGGCATGTCCTTCCACAGGAGGAATATTCAATTAAAGTCCAAACATAGTCTGCAGACGATTTTTCTAGTAATTATGTTTGAACGTCTTTTGAGCATCTCTTGCCTATTTCACAGTTTCCGTCCACAATCCCCCTGTAGGAGGACATGCCCGACCTAAGGATAGCAAGTACGCCCTTCTCATGGCGCTCCACCCGCGGTTGGGTGCCACGAGCCCCGCCAGCGCACTGGGCACCCTGGACGAGGAGGCGCGGAGAGGTGTCCTGCAGACGATCTTCGATTTTGTGGAGTGCGCGGACGCCGGCAGGGCGAAGTGCCTGGTGGTGTGCCACTGGCCCCCGGGCATCCGCATGGACGCCGTGCGGGACGTGGTGTGGTCTCACATCGACATCTCGAGGAAGAGAAAGCGGCACGGGCGTGCAGTGGGGGCCCATGCCGAGAGGCACCCCGCTCGCCTCCGGGGTGCCCTATAGGTCTCTTGGGTCTCGATGGTTCTGCGATGGGAAGCCGGGCGCTCCCACACCAAAAGTCCATGGACGTCCTGGGGGTCTCAGGGTTTGGGGCTTCTTTCGGGGAGACGTAAGACTCGAGTAAGCCGGAACTCGGGTTTGCCGATTGTTTTTTGGACGAGCGCGTCCTGGATTTTGACGGTCCCGTGTTCGTGGGATGTCTGCAGCGGGAGCCCGCGTCAAGTTTCAGATTGGGCCTGGTCATTTCTATTATGGCCCCCAGCTTCGCTGTGATGCTGCATCGTGGTGTTGTCCGGGGGGGGGGGGAAACAACAACAACAACAACAACAACAACAATCATTTAATACTGGGGACACTCCGTTCTCACCAGTGCCAGGGTTTTCATAGGAGGCGGGCAATACCCCCACTTTGTGGGGGGGCCGGTTCAAGCTCTACCAAATTTCCAACGACTCTTCGCCACCACCCACACCCAGCTTCCCGCCCTATGACGTTCGGACACTTCACTTCGTGGCATGCGGACGACCGTGGCTACTATTCAGGGCCCCGCGGCCGACGACGACGGCGTGCGCGCGCGAAGAAAAAACGAATGTGTCCAATATGGTATTATTTGACAGGGATGATGGCCCTGGCATGCGCGTCACCGTTGTTGCAGAAGTTCGAAGCACGTGAAAAAATCGCTCGCAAGAGCCGCTTTGACAGAAATGTTGAAAAAATATTGGGTTTCCTCCGAAATCCGCAAGAGCGCGCAAGATGAATGTTTGAAGCTTTTTTTTTGAAAAACCATTGGGTTTTTCATGTTTTTATGTTAAAATCGCTACGAAAACTAAGGTTTTGGAAGGATTTCATCTTGCGCGCGCGAGTGTGCACTTCGTGTCATTTGTTTCAAAGGATTCTTGAAGTTTGGTTATGTTAGAACAAGAAATTTCATTTTATAGTGTTTTTTGCAAGGGAAAGCGGGCGTCAACAAAACAACCGGATCCGGACACCCACGTTTTGCCTGAGACTTCCTCACGAAAATGATGAAAATGTGGCTGCGGCCTAGGCGCGGCGAGGGGGGCGCGCACCAGGGGCCCCAACAATAATTATTCTTTAGAATAAATAATGTTCAACAACAACAACAACAACAACAATCACTTTACCCGAACGCTCAGTGTTCTCACCAGTGCCAGGGTTTTCATGCGACGCCAGCCAATACCCCCACTTTGTGGGGGGGCAGTGCAAGCTCTACCAAATATCCACACGACTCTTCGCCACCACCCACACCCAGCTTCCCGCCCTATGACGTTCGGACACTTCACTTCGTGGCCTGCGGACGACCGTGGCTACTACACTGGCGTGGAGTACACACCCACAGAAGTTGTTAAGCCTACGTTCGTACACCCACAGGTTGGAAAACCATTGGTTGTTTTAGGATTCGGACAGCGCGCGCGGGTGGAAATTTTGAAAAGTCGTGCAGGTGTTTTTCGAGGACCTACGGTGCGATTCGTGTGATTTTATGATGCGCGGTGCTAAAATTCTTAAAAACCCAATGGTTTTTGGAGATTTCGGCGTGCGCGCGCGAAGAAAAAACGAATGTGTCCCGCATGGTATTATTTGACAGGGATGATGGCCCTGGCAGGTGCGCAACCGTTGTCGCAGAAGTTCGAAAAAGTTGCTCGCAAAAGCCCGTTTGACAGAAATGTTTAAAAAGTGTTGGTTTTCCTACGAATCCGCAAGAGCGCGCGGGATGAGATTTTGACATTTTTTTGTTGAAAAACCATTGGTTTTTTGATGTTTTTATGTTAAAATCGCTCCGAACACTAAGCTTTTGGAAGGATTTCGTCTTGCGCGCGCGAATGTCCACTTTACCTTATTTTTTGCAAGGGATTCTTGAAATTTGATTATATTAGAACAAGAAATGTCATTTTATAGTGTTTTTTGCAAGGGAAAGCGGGGGGGAACAAAACAACCGGATCTTGATGACATCGTATTACCTGAGGCTTCCTCACGAAAATGATGAAAATGTAGCTGCGGCCTAGGCGGCGCAGGGGGGGCCGTGCACCAGGGGTCCCAACAATAATTATTCTTTAGAATTAATAATGTTCAACAACAAAATCTATGATGGCCCCCGTCAGGCCAGCCCGAGTCCCCGATTCTTGTGGGAGGCCTCTTCTGGTCGGGCCCCCACTGTGGCGCGCCGGAGGCCCGTTCGCGGGGTTCTCCTGGAGCGGCGCTGGGGGACCCCCCCTCCCCTTGGCGGCGGCGCCTCCGCAGGCCGCCGCCCCCCCCGAGGAAGGGGGGGGGGCGGGCTCTGGAGGTTCGGGCCGGACGAAAAGGGGGGATTGGGAAAGGAGGAGGAGGAAGAAGGAGGAGGAGGAGGAGGAGGAGGGAGGAGGGAGGAGGAGGAGAAGGAGGAGGAGGAGGAGGAGGAAGGGAGGAGGAGGAGGAGGAGGAGGAGGAGGAGGAGGGAGGAGGAGGAGGAGGGGGTTGCGAAATTTGCTGCATGCAGCTGGTTTCGGCCCCACCGAGGGGCCCCTTCCTCGATGCATGGGCGCCTCCGGCGCCGGGAGGCGCTTGGAAAATCAGCTGCGTGAGCTGATTCTCAAACCCCCCCTTTGCTATCCCCCCCTTTCGCCCGACCCGAGAGGTGGGAAAGGAAAGGGGTGTGGTGCCAATCGTGGAAGCGGAGATGTCATCTACGATAGGTAGCATCTCCAGGCTCTGCATTGGCACCACGCCCTTTTATGCCACACCCTTTCTCTAGGCCTCCCAGATGGGGTCGGTGTAGATGTGGTCGAAGGACTGCGCCGCATCGCCGATGCATCGGCGACGCCGCTCGATGCGGAGCCCGACTTTCGCCACGTCAATGGTGCCAACGCATCGCCGACATCGCCAATGCATCGCCGGTGCATCGCCGATGCATCGCCGATGCATCGGCGGTGCATTGGCCATGCGTCGCGATCCTCCGACCCCAGCTATTCGGACCCCATCCAGGAGGCCTCTACCTTTCCTTGGCATCGCTCGGACGTGTGCATTTTTCCCTCGGCGAGGACGATCGAGGAGCATCCTTGATCACTTCGCGAAAGAAACCACGCACGAAACCGAACAAAACACAGGAAATGGACGTCCGAGCGATGGCCAGTTTCCGACCTCCAGAGCTGCAGCGCCGAGGCCAGGAGTCCGCGCGGGCGCCTCCGGGCGCTCCGGCGCTCGTGCCCGGGCTCTCTGCCTCCGGCGTCCTGCGGAGGTGGTCTGGGGGGCAAGGCCGGGGGGGCGGGGGTCGGGGGTGGACAGACCTCCTACCCTGACACGTCGATTAGGGAATTGGCCATCCTGACACGTCGATTAGGGAATTAGGGTCGATTAGTGAATTGTTTGTTTTCGGTTCTCGAGGGCGCCGTGGCCGTTATTTTCCAGGCTTGCGCCCGCCAGGTTTGGGCCTCAGGTCGTTTTCACTAAACCACGCTTCACTAAACCACGTTTTACTAAAGGGGGGTCGGGGGTGGACAGACCTCCTACACTGACACGTCGATTAGGGAATTGGCCGTTTTCGGTTCGCGAGAGGGCGTCGCGGCCGTCGTTTTTGCGGGTCCAGGTCCGTCGGTTTCGGTCCCATGCCGTTTTCACTACGGGCTCAGCCTGGGCCTCCCAGGAGACTGTTCTTTTAGGGTCGGGCGATAACCCGGGTTATCGGGCTTGCCCCTCCCCCCCCCAGGATAACCTAGCCTTGCCGGTTGTGCAGGTCCGCGGGAGGAGGGGCGCGGGCATATGCAGGGCTGCCCACAGCGCGAGGGTTAGGTTATCGGCCAGCCCCCTCCTCCCCCCCCTGGGAGAACCCGGGTTCTCGCCGATTCAAAAAAAAACGGTCTCCAGATGGGGCCGGAGCAGATTTCAGTCGGGCGTGTCTCTCTGCAGTCGGGAGCCTTGAGACGGGGATCGATGCAAACGGGGGTCAGCCAGCGCGCCCGATCTTGCAGGATCCTGCAGGGCCAGGGTCGCATTGACCCGGGCTTGGGTGCAGGGTCCTGCAGGATCTTGCAGGATCCTTCCCATTGACTCGGGTTCGGGCGCAGGATCTGGCATGATTTTGTAGGATTCTGCAAGGCTTGACTGAGCCGGGTCTGGATTGACCCGGCTCCCGATACAGGAGGAATGCCCAAAAATAGTCAAAAAAAAGGCTTTGGGGGCGATTTGTTGACAATTTGTTTTGCATTGTTCGACTATTTGGGAATTTTCGCCCACGATCCGCCTGTAGGGACACGCTCGACCTAAGAGTAGATGAGGTCGGAGCATCGCGCCGCATCACCGATGCATCGGCGATGCGGCTCGATGTGGAGCCCGACTTTCTCCACGCCGACGGCGCTGGTGCGTCGCAGACGTCGCCGATGCGGGGGACGAGTGGGCCCAGAGGGGGGGCATCGACCCCCAATCGCCCACGCAGCGCCGACATCGAAAAACAACAAAAAACGGAATAAGCATAAACTATTGGCGCTCCGCGCGGATTTCTTGGATCCGCGCTAGTCGAATATCAACAAAAATAACTAGTCGAAGATCAAAAACGACATAAACGTAAATTTTTAGCGGTCCGCGCGGGTTTCTTGGGTCGGCGCTTGGGCCCCCCAGGCGGCGTTTCCAGCGCCTCCCCTGGCGCGCTCCGCGCGCCAGGGTGGAGGGTCCAGCGCAGATCCAAGAAATCCGCGCGGTCATCGTTTTCTTTTTCTTCTACGACAGGGGCCAGATTGGCCCGCCCCGCCGTGATCGTGCGGACTGGCCCATCGCCGCCGAATCAGCGATGTGATGCTGGTTCCAGTTCGCTGTTCCCCCCCGAGAGTCGGCTCCCTGGTGGTTTTCAGGTCACAAGCTGGGTCTCCCGCGGCCGCTCGGGACCATCCGGGCAATTGCCCCAGGACGCTCTCGGCAAGGCGCAGCCGCTGGAAGGCATCCCGAGGCTGGAAAACCTCCGAGAACCAACGAACACGACCTGGAATCGGCGATACATTGCCGATGGATCGGTGGCAGGTCCCCAGTAGCAAACCCGCACCTTCTGGGCGGGGTGGACCATCAGGCCCCGATTGGGCGGTTTGGGGTCAATGTATTCCCCTTGAGCATATCCGCCCCCCCACGTCACCCCTGAACCACACTGGCTTATGTGCCATAGTTCGGGTCTCCGGCAGCCGCTCGGGACGACCCGGGCACCTCTGGAAAGCTCTCGGCGAGGCGTAACCGCTGAAGGTCACCTCGAGGCTGGGCTGTGAAGCCGCCGAGACCGTAGGAGAACCTCCCCCTTTTGTTGGTGGTCTCTGGGCCTTCCAGGTGGGGTCACAAGGCTGGGGTCGGAGGATCGCGCCGCATCGACGTGGAGCCCGAGCTCCTCCACGCCGACTCCGCCGGTGCATCGCCGACGTCGCCGATGCGGCGGTGATGCATCGACGACGCGGCGCGATCCTCCGGCCCCACCAGCTCCGAGACCCCACCCGGGAGGCCCCTGAGCGCCCAGCGCCGCCCCCTCGAGGTGGCGGCCCCCCCGGGGCTCCGCGGCGCCGGGCGGCCCCCCGCGGGCCGCGGCCGCCGAGGACTCGCCCTCGGAGGGCGAGCAGGAGCGGCCGGAGGGCGGGCCCAGCAGCGACGAGGAGCAGCGGCGAGGCAGCGACGAGGCCGCCGGCTCGGGCTCGGGCGCGCCGCGGCCGCGCAGGGAGGCCGCCTCGCAGGAGATCGGGCAGCGAGGGCCGCACAGTGGAGGCCCATGCCAAGAAACGCCGACGAAGGCAGACGTGCGAGGCACACACACGCACACACAAGCTTTGGGCGTCGCGGCCCTGCGCGCGGCTACAGGCCGTATAAGCCAGACACATACATGTTTGCGTCGGCGGCTAGGCAGAGTGACTGCGCTGGCGGACAAGCAAAGGCAGGGCACACGAATGCGAATTGAGCCGCAAGGCGCGGGGGAGAGAGGAGGAACGCCCAGCGGTGGCAGGAGGGAGACGGAACTCGGGCCCGCTCAGAGCGGGGCCGGGCGGCGGCGAACACACACACACACACACACACACACACACACACACACAAACACAAACAAACAAACAAACTCACAATTACGCTTACACTTACGCTTACGCTTACGCTTACACATACACCTACACCTACACCTACACTTACACTTACATTTACACACCTATATTTTTCGGTCGTCGCGGGTGGGCGACCCGCCACGCCGTCAGACGCGCCGCGCCGATGACCGGGCGCGCGTCCAGTACAGTGGAGAAGCATGCCAAGAAACACCCTGCTTGCCTCCAGGGTGCCCTGGGTTTCTTGGGTTCCGATGGTCTTTCTGTGGAAAGCGTGGCGCTCCCACACCAAAAATCCATGGACGTCCTGGGGTCTCAGGGTTTTGGGTTTCTTGTGGAAGGTCTCTTGTGGTTGAGCTCCTACTGTACGTACATCTAGGCCTCGTAGATGGGGTCCGAGTAGATGGCGTCGGAGCGTCGCGCCGCATTGCCGATGCATCGACGATGCGGCTCGATGTGGGGCCCGTGTTTCCCCACGCCCACCTCGCCGATGCGTCGCCGACGTCGCCGATGCATCGCCGATACATCGGCGATGTATTGGCGATGCGGCGCGATCCCTCGACGCCATCTAGGAGGCCTCTAGTACAGGCATGCTCACTGCCCCTGGGCCAGGCCCGCTCGGGGCCCCGGGAGTCCAGAGGGCCGTTTGGTGCCCTTTTGGCATGTTTTTCTGAATTCTTCGAGCTGGCCTGCTTGTCTGAATTCTTCGAACGGTCTTGGGGTCCTCTGGAGTCGTCTGAGAGCTCTCTCAGGGAGCCTCGTGGGCCGTCTTGAGGCGAATCAGGAGGCTTCTCGGCCTGTCTTAGACGCTGCGGTCGCAGAGGAGGCGAAAGTGCTGAAAATGCGCGCTGTTCCATGGAAGTGGAACAGTTGATGCTCTTTGAGGCCTTCTTGCGGCGCCTCTTGAGGGCTTCTCGGGGCATCTTGGGGGACTCTTGGGCCGTCTGGAGGCCAGCGTGGGCGTTTTCGATCGATCTTTCGGCGGCTCGTGGCCCTATTGGATTGTCCAGGGGGCCTCTTGGTGCCCTCTTGGTTTGTTTTGAAGCCCCCTGCCCCCCCCAATGATGCGTTTGGGGTGTCCCCGGGGGAACCC